GTCCTAGTAGTACGTCCGGCTCGAGCGGTACCTCTCCGGAGGTTGCAGTACTCTAAGTACCACGCACGCAGCTGCTCCGAGGAGAGGGCTCCTCCAGGTGCAGGACTCCCAGGCCTAGTACCTCCAGACTCAGAACCCCTAGACTCCGGACTCCGCAGCTCAGCACCACGAGGCTCCACACCCCCAAGCTCCACACCGCCAGGCTCCACACCCCCAGGCTCCACACCCCCAGGCTCAGCACCCCCAGGCTCAGCACCCCCAGCAGGACGAGAGTTGACATCTACCTCAACAGGCTCAACCGGGTCTACCTGAGACACACCTGAGGGAGCGGCACCGTGAGGGGGGAGGGGGTCTGCAACAGCAGCACCTGGAGCGAGGAAGAGAGGCGGGGGGGGGAGCGGGGCAGTGCGGTAGGGGAAGAGGCGGTAGTAGGGGACGGACTCGTCAAAAGTGACGTCCTGGGAGGGCAAGACTCAGCGCGAGGTGGCGTGGTAAAACTGCCAACCAGACGCGTCCGAGACAAAGCCGAGGAAGACGCACGGAACAGCACGGGAGGAGAGCTTGTCCGTAGACGAATCGCGGACAAAAGCTCGAGACCCCTGGACCCGGAAACGCGACGCATCGCCAACCTCCCCCGTCCACAGCAGCGTGGGCGAGGTCTCCGGTAAGGAGACACGGGGCCAGAGGTTGAGCTGATGCGCAGCGTACCGGACCGCAAACGGCCACAGAAAGTGGGGGGCACCCGCATGGATCAAGGAGGTACGGGCGACCTCCATGACCAGGCCAATGCGGCGCTCCGCAACCCCATTCTGCTGTGGAGAAGCCGGAAGCGTGAACGAGTGCTCAATGCCGTGCTCAGCACAGTAGGCTGCCAAGAGGTCGGAGGAGAACTCACCACCTATGTCAGAGTGCAAGCGTAGGACAGGAAAGTCCGAGTGAAAACACTCGCTGAGCTGGAGACGGGCTCTGCGGATCCAAGGGATCAAGACATCAGGGACCTCACCCTTGGTGCGCAAGGGGAAGACCGAGGTGTAGCGCGAGTAGTCTTCAACAACTATCAGGAAGTACCTCTCCTGACCCTGACCACGGACGCGGGCTGGGCCTCACACGTCCATGTGGAGTGTCTGCAAGGGAGCAGACGTCGGGGGGAACCAGGAGGAGTGAGGAGCGGCGTGCTGCCGTCCCTCGACACAGGGGAGACAGGTAGGAGCAGGCAAGGGTGGGAGGGCAGGATGGACCCTGGGCAGGCCAGAGACAAGGTCCCGGGAGTGTATGGCACGAACCCGCTGCATAGACGAGTGGCCAAGGCGGTGGTGCTAGAGGACAGTCTCGTGTGCCAAAGAGCGACACGAGCAGGGGGCGGACAGCTGATCTGACGTGGACGCGGACGCAGTCGCAGCAACCTGAGGGGACTCAGTAGTCAGTGTGTAGAGGTCCGACCCCGGCTGCCGAGTGAAGGTAGCCAAGTGACGGCCCGTACGAGCACACGTGCAGTGTGTCACGCGCTCGTAGGCAGGGGTGAACTGGTGAACACCCCCGTCCTGGAGTGCACATCCTGCCACCAAGTTCGTAGAGAACGAGGGGAGGTGGAGACATGACAGTGTGCCCGACGGGACCGCAGGGCAGGGAAGGACAGTGGAAGAGGTCGCAATGACGGGAACCCCAGAGGGTTCAGCAAGGGAAACAGCAACAGGGCGAGCAAGCGGCTCAAGGGCAGTGCGGTCACGAAAGAAGCAGCGAGAAGCACCTGAGTCTAGTGTGAAGGTGTGTGCAGTGCGGCAGTCGACGCAGTACCAAGGGGGGGAGACACACGAGCAACTAGAGCAGCAGCCTCACCAGCACCTGGGGTAGCCGACACGCGAGTACCTGGAGCGGCAGACGCACTGGCCCTAATGCCCGGGTCGGGCGGCACACACAAGTACTCAGCACCCTCTCCACTAGTAGACATCACATACATGGTAGATAGAATAGCATCAAAGTCTCGAGCATAGATATCAATCCCCTTCTTCAGGAGATCAAGCCAGCGGGGCAGCTCAGTGGCCTGAGGGAACTGAACACGCCAAGCGTCGTTGAGACGAGAGAAGCAGCGCTGTGTGGCGTGCGGTCGTCCACACTGCTGACCAGTGCGGTCACTAGTGCTAATGACGTACGTGCAGATAAGACCACCCCCACCCCTGTGCTGAGAGTACCACTCACGGACCTCCTGGGGCGAGGGAGTGTGCTGCTGGCCCTGGCCATCGCCAGTCCCTCCACGGCCACCACCACCGCTGCCACCTCCTCGACCACCCCAACTCCTGCCGCCGCCTCGTCCACCGCCACCCCAACCGCCGCCTCCACTCCTGCCACCTCCCCCGCCGCTGCCGCCACCACCCCCACCGCTACCACTCGCCCTTCCAGCCGAGCCACCACCCCCACTGCCTCCACCGCCCCCACTGCCGCCTCCCCCGCCGTCACCGCCACCACCCTTGCCCCCTTTGCCCTTGCCGCTGCGGCGTCCGCTCGAGGCAGACGCAGCGCCGACCTTCTCAGTACCAAGAAGGTCGACAGCAGCAGCAGAGGCGACAGAGGGAAGAAGGGGTGAAGGAGAACACCCCTCAAAGAACGGGGTACGGGGGTCGCCACGAGAGGCACCTACAGCGACTATGCTAGTCTGACCTGCAAGTAGCTCCTTCTCGAGGAGGGCAATGGTGAGCTCAGTGGGGCAACGAGCTAGGAAGTGGTCCCTGACAGCACGCAGTGTGTCAGGGAGGCGGGTGACTAGGTGGTAGAGAGTGAGCCAGACTGGAGGGGGGTGCGTGGCAAGGAATTCAGCAGGCATGGCGGCACGGAAGCGGGCCTCACTAGTACAGAGGTGCGTGATGAGGTCAGCGACTGTGTGAAAGGAGGCCAGGTCGGGAAACAGGTAGGGGAGGGAGAGACGGCCTAGTGCGGCAGAGGCAGGTGAGGAGTAGCGAGCAGCTACAGTTGTGTACAGTGCCTATGCAGTCTTGTGCTGACCAAAGTGCTCGCGTTCGTCTATCGGCAGGGAGTTGCGAATGGCGAAGCGAGCGTGGGCATCACGAGTCTGCCATTGTGAGCGAGCAGTGCTGTCAGCAGTAGCAGCAGAGGCAGTGACATGGCCTAGGGCGTGATCGTACAGTGAGATGTCATCCTTGGCTGTGAGCTGTAGGTAGAGGTGCAGGTCATCGAGCCAGGTGTCAAACTTCACAGGGCGGCCCTCAGCATCGAACACGAGAACCTGTGGGCTAGCCATAGGAACAGTAGAAATAGCAGCAGTAGCAGTAGAAGAAGCAGGTAGGACGAACCAGGTAGGGCAGGGCGGCGCGGCTCGGTTCAGGTCGGGTCGCGGCTCGCCTCGGTGGCGCGGCTCGGCTCGGGGCGCGCGGCTCGGCTCGGGGCGCGCGGCTCGGGTCGCGCGGCTCGGGTCACGGCGGGGACGGGCCGCCCGCTCTCCCTCGTGTGCTGCGGCGGGAACGGGCCGCCCGGGGCCTCTAGGTGGTGGGCACGGGTCGGCGAGGTCGGCACGGGGCCGGTTGGGGCCCTAGAGGGGCGAGCGCGGGGCCGATCGGGGCCTGAGCGGGGCTAGCGCGGGGCCAAACGGGGCCTTGACGGGGCTAGCAAGGGGCCGACGGGGCCTGAACGGGGCTAGCGCGGGGCCGACGGGGCCTGAAACGGGGCCGACGGGGCCTGAAACAGGGCTAGCGCGGGCCCGATCGGGGCCTGAATGGGGCTAGCGCGGGGCCGACGGGGCCTGAGAGGCGCTAGCGCGGGGCCGACGGGGCCTGAAACGGGGCTAGCGCGGGCCGACGGGGCCTGAAACGGGGCCAACGGGGCCTGAAACGGGGCTAGCGCGGGCCGACGGGGCCTGAAAGGGGCTAGCGCGGGGCCGACGGGGCCTGAAACGGGGCCGACGGGGCCTGAAACGGGGCTAGCGCGGGCTGACGGGGCCTGAGAGGGGCTAGCGCGGGGCCAACGGTGCCTGAAACGGGTCCGACGGGGCCTGAACGGGGCTAGCGCGGGGCCTGAACGGGGCCTTAAAGGGGCTGACGGGGCCTGAACGGGGTCGCTAGGGAGAGCGGGCGTGGGGCCGACGGGGCCTGAACGGGGCTAGCGCGGGGCCGTCAAGAGGGGCCTCTAGGGGCGTGACACGCCGAGGCGCCCTAGGGCACAGGTAGGTAGGTAGTTACGTAGTTGTGGGCCCTTAGAAAATTTCGGTCCTAGGAAGGACCTGCTCTATACCATGTTGGAATCACTGAACAGGAATGAATGAACTAGCAGTGAAATGAGTACAAGTACCTAACCCTAGAATTGTGTACCCCCTATAGGCTAACCCACAGTAGCCTAAACTAACACAACATATATTATGTTTGACAGAGGGCCATTCTGCTGGCTTTGCGGCTGGAAAGATATTTTCTTCCAAGATCCCTTAAAATTCTTATAAAATAGATCGATATTCTCACAAAGAGAAAGCTACAGAAATAGAGTTGTTACATAAGTCTTTTTTTTTTAAATCCAAGATACACTAAAAGAAGTGCACAATACATGAGCAGTCATAACTGTAGCTGATGGGCCTGGGGGGTTCTCACCCACCGTACCCATCCTGAGCCTCTAAAGGGGACGGAAAGTTACCATCGGGTTCGACCAGATAGCCATGAAGCCTTTGGACACCGGTTGAACTGCATTGTCAAAGATGCGTCCCAAGGCACGGCACTCGTCATCATCCAATCCAGTACGAGTGGCACCGAGCCTCTTGGATGTCGCCTTAGCACGCTTGTATATTTTGACGTGTAGTTGGAACGACGCCGCGATCCTCCGCAGTGCCCTTCGCGCCCGGAACTTGCTGCGCTCGAAAATCGCATCACACCTCGCTACCCATATCCGATGCAACGCGATTGCCGTGATTGTAGCCTCGGGGAAACCCGAAGCTGTACCCTCCCTCTTGAAGATCAGGTCCCCCAGAGTCTCTATCTTCCGATGTGGATTCAACATGCGGAGCGCCTTCAGGAGCGCCCGAACCACCGGCTGGATGCGTGGGCAAAAAAGAGCCCATGCTCCAAAGTCTCCTTCTCCCCGCGTCTGGGCAGGCCAAACCGGCCCCCAGAAAATGCAACAGCTCCCCACCTGCAAATTCCGGCTGTGGACCCGGAGCATCACATCCCGCGCCCGATTCGAAAGGGCCATCGATTCCCTTACACTGATTGCTCTCACCAGTCGATCGGACGGCCACGAACCTCCTCCCACGTAGTCTGCTGCTTCGGCTTCCCGCCCCAGCGCTTGAAACCCTCCTTGAGCTGCCTCAATTGCGCCGGGCGGTCCCCTTCCCAGATGGGCGAACAGAGCAACCTTGCCTTGGGGGCCCCTGCCGGACCGAGGAAGCGGCCCTCCCTGACCACCGCAAGAGTCACCTCGTGCGATAGGAAGTTGCAGAACCTCTCCTCCTCGCCCCCCAGAACCCCCCAAAAGCAGTTGACAGCACGGCAGACTAGGGTTTCACCCTCCACTCCTTCAATTCTCCTGATCCCGTAGCTCATCCCCGCCTTCAACACGAACTTGGAGACCGTGAGCACCGTACGCGCCGTGACTGGCGCCAGGAGCAGCTGCTTCCATTCATCCGGAGCAACGTCAAATATCCTCCTCGCAAGTTTAGCGTTCTCCTCAAGTTCCTGAGTGTCCTTCAGCGTTCTCGAGCCGTCCGCAGCGACCTTGATTAGGTCTCTCATAACCGAGCGCTTCAAACCCTTAGCTGCCTTCTGTCGCCCTTGTTAGATAAGTCTTCTATTCCAAGAAGGAAATAGAGAGAGAGAGAGATCCCTAAACTGCTCAAGGAGCAAGTTAAGAAGATTCTTTTCATCAATTCTCTTATATCTATAATGCTCTGCTATTTAATAAAAAGCCATGAGTCTTCCACCAAGAAGGTGGGCAGAGAATAAATCCTCTTAAAGCAAAAGAGCTTCTAGATCTTGGAAATCCTTATAGAAAGATCTTGGAGTTTCTCAACCCCCTTTGTAAAAGGGCTTGATGTCAAACAACGAGCTCTAAGAGTAATTGAGAGTTGAGTAGGCCTAGGCTTAGTAGTCGAGTGGTTTGTGCCAAGGGAAGGTATCGAGGAAGTTGGAAAATGAGAATGAGTTCACTATAGGTTTGCAAGAACATATAGCATGTGAACAAAGAAGGTGCACCACCTAACAAAGTATATAATAACTACACTAACTACAGCTACAGGAAGTTATATATATAAATTCTGACACTCCCCCATAACTCCCTGCAGCAGGAGTTTGTGCAGAACACAACCTGCAAGGGTACACAAGCAGACTGATAAACAAGCAACAGCAGGTACGGTAAGTGAGCAGTACAGTAGGTCGACAGCAAGAAATTCCTGCCACCCCCTTACCCTCTCCCCCCCCCAACCACAGGAGGGGAAGGAGGAAGAGTGAGGAGGCGGGCTGGCTCTGGCTGGTCACCCACTCCATCTCCTCACCCTCCTCCTTCCCCTCCCCCACAATGCTGCAGGAGCAGCAGAGGGGGGGGGAAGAGAGGAGAGGTGGAGGGATGGCTGCTGGTTGCCTCACACCCGCCACCCTGGTGCCACTCCCCCTGCTCCCCCACACCCTCACACCCCCCAGCGGCAGCTGCAGCAGTGGGAACGAAAGGAGGAGGGGAAGGGAAGCTCTCTACCCAACACTCCAACACCCGCCAACCCCATACCCTCCCCCCCACGACTGAAGGGAGACGAAGGAGGACGGGGTGGGCGGGAAGAAAGCCGCAGAGCGGCTAAATAGGGTCGGCGCAGGTAGATCAGGGGCGGCTGCAGGGAGTGCAGGTGCGAAGAGCACCGTCGCGTGCCACGGGGCGCACGACGGGCAAGTTTAGGGCACCGTCGCGTGCCACGGGGCGCGCGACGGGCAGAGAAGGTGTCACTCGCCACCCGGGGGCGGGACAAGACGAAAATCGCCACGCGCCTTAGGCGCGCGACCGGAAAAATAGCAGCGGAATCATAAGGCGGGCCCACAGGCCCGGACAAAACACGCTCTGAATCCATGTCAAACAACGAGCTCTAAGAGTAATTGAGAGTTAAGTAGGCCTAGGCTTAGTAGCCTAGGCCTAGGGGATATCGAGTGGTTTGTGCCAAGGGAAGGTATCGAGGAAGTTGGAAAATGAGAATGAGTTCACTATATGTTTGCAAGAACATATAGCATGTGAACAAAGAAGGTGCACCACCTAACAAAGTTTATAATAACTACACTAACTACAGCTACAGGCAGTTATATATATAAATTCTGACACTTGAGACTACTCTAGATTTAAGATCTAAAAACTCCTTTCAAAAAAAGGAAAAAAAAATCGAATTAGCCACACAGGGCCAAGGATAACTAATGATCTGAATATCAAATGTAACATGGGCTTATAAAAACACGCCCTTTAAATAAAAAAAATGACTCGGGCTTATGAAGCAATGCCCACTAAGAGGGTCACAAGTAGGCTTATAAAATGCTAAAGATACACACACAAGATAAACTAGTATAAATGCTAGCCTTGAGTCTTGAAGGAAGAGAAACTTGACCAAAAAACTTGTTGTTGAATGCACGTCAGTTTGAGTGCATGTCATCCTAACGTTTTGCCGAGTGCTCGTTCTTAAACGTCACGATCAGCCGGCACCAAGGGAAATCACCAAGAAAAAAGGAGGCTCCGCAAAAGAAGACTCTGCACCGACCGGGAAACTCACAGCCTACTCTCTCATGACGATAGGTGCGGTGGGTGGACTTCCTAGAAACCCACTTCCACTACGACATCGTCTACAAACCCGGACTACACAACAAGGCCAACGCATGGAGCTGCCCTGGTCATGTAGCATGCATCCAGCTCGACGCTCTACTCAAGGGTCTATCTCAACATGGGTACTCCGTGGACGCAAGGATCGCTACAGCACAGAAACAGAAGCTGCTACAATGAAAGAAGAACTTAGCTGTAAGGAAGGGTTCATGACAGATTTGGGTACCGAGCTATGACCCACTCTGACAACTCTTACTAAAAAAGAGTTTCACGACGTGGCATATGCGGGACATTTCAGGAGTAATAAGACATTAGCAGGGCGGCCATAACAAGTCGTCAGCCTCGACTTCATCACCTGGCTTCCTTCTCTAAAATGGGACAATTCATTCTAACCAACGCCATGGCTACAGCTGAAGCAACTGCTTGTCTCTTTTTTGACCGCATCATCACCATCCACAACATCCCTGCAACACTCATCTTGGACACAGCTTGCAAAGACGACATCAGCCACTGGGATCTACAGTTGCCGACCCTAGAGTTCGCTTACGACAACGCGTCACATGCGGCCACGGAAAAATCTCCTTTCTTTCTGTGCCACGGATGGGAACCACTTACACCACAGCAGCCAACCACACCGGCACATGTCCAAGCCACACATGACTTTATCACCACCATGCAGCAGCTATAGGAGAAGACTCAAAGACGTCTCACCACGATGCAGACCTCCCAGAAGCAGTATGCCTATCGACAGCACTCGGTAGCAGTCGGAGGTCAAATGCTTCTTAACACATGTAAATTGTGTGAAATTAGAAACGTGAATGAATTTACTACGAACGAGGTGAGTACAAATAGGAAACCCTAATTGGGTTGTACCCCCTATGGGATACCCCACTATAGCCTACACAAACAAGTAAGCTATAATGTTCTCACACACCCCCATAGGCAAAGTGGGGGAGAACAAGGGGTCACAAGACCAGTCAAGCAAAGCAAAGCAAAGCTCAGGGTGGATCACAAAGTCACCACACATTCCGAGCACAAGGTCAAGGGCCACAAGGCCAGTTCGCATGCAAGATTATATATAGAGATATACAAGAATCAAGCAAGCAAGAGCAAGAGTATATATAGGTCAAGGTACAAACAAGGTCAAGAAGTGAGCAAGTGAGACAAGACAGGCACAAGACCCAGCTGCATGCAGCAACGCTGATGATCACAAGGCGCAAGTGCCTTGGTGAAGACATCAGCAGTGTTGGCCTCTGAGGCCACGTACGCAAGTCGCAACTGTCCACGCTGCTGCAGCTCACGAGCAAGAAAGTAGCGGAGAGCAATGTGCTTTGTCCTGTGCTCCAGACGCTGCTCTCGACACAAGGCCAGCATGGCCTTGTTGTCTACGTACAGAACTGGAGGAGAACGAGGCGGCTCTCCAAGGTCGGTCAGCAGGTAGGTGAGCCAGCGAAGCTCCTGAGCAGCCATAGCCCCGGCGTAGATCTCAGCCTTACAACTGGAGCCGAGAACAGAAGACGAGCGAGTAGCCCGCCACGAGACAGAGCCGGAACCAAGGTTGAAGGTGTAACCCTGTGACGACCGCTGTGTAGCCTGGTCGTCAGCCCAAGAAGCGTCCGCGTGCCCAGTGAGGACAACTGGACTGCGCCCTCCAAGCACTAGCCCCATGCCCGACGTACTGCACAAGTAGCGCAACACCCTCTTCGCTGCAGCCATGTGCTCTGGTCGGTGTCTCCCAGGAGCAACATAGCGTGCGAGAATGCTGAGAGGGTATGCAAGGTCAGGTCGTGTGCAGGTCATCAGGTACATGAGGCAGCCAACAAGCTCTGCATACGGGCCACTCGACTCTACGGACTCATCCGAAGGCAGAGCTGAGAGCGAGTGGCGAGTAGGCAGAGGAGTGGCCTGAGGCGAGGAGTACGTGAAGCCGAAGCGCTGAAGGACCTGCTGCACCATGTGTGACTGAGTCAGGGTAATGGTGCGGCGTGCTCTGTCCCGGGTGATCTGCAAGCCAAGGTAGTTGCGCAGTTCACCCAGGTCAGTGCGCGTGTGTCTCTTCTGCAGCTCGGACTTCACGTAAGCGAGTCCAGCAGTGTCCGTTGTGGTAAAGACCAAGTCGTCGTCGTACACGAGGATGTAGAACGTCGGCAGAGAGGTGTCGGTGCGCAGAAACAGCGACGGGTCGGCAGTAGAAGGAGCAAACCCAAGTGCCGCAAGCGTAGTCCTCAGTGTGTCGTGCCACTGACGTGGCGCCTGGCGGAGACCGTAGACTGGACGCCGGAGACTCCACTGGGTACCAGGAGGGAAAGACCCAGCGAAGCCAGGTGGGCGACGCAGCCAGATCTCCTCGTGCAGGCTGCCCTGCAAGAAAGCGGTGCTGAAGTCGAGAGAGTGCAGCTCGTAGTCACGGTGAGCAGCAACGTGCAGCAGGACCCGAAGAGTGGTCATCTTCGGGGTGGGGGAGAAGGTCTGAAAGTAGTCAACCCCCTGCCGCTGACTGAAGCCACGAGCCACGTAACGCGCCTTGAAGACAGGCGGAGAACCCGGCGGCCGCTTCACCCTGAAAATCCACATGCCACTGACGATGTTCGCCCCACAAGGGGGAACAGCGTTGACGTAGGTGCCTGTGGACTTCCAGGAAGCCATCTCTGCATCCATAGCTGCCTGCCACTGAGAGGAGTAGGGACCCTCTATCGCCTCCGCGTAAGAGCGCGGAGTCGGGATGTCTAGTGCATCCGGTTCTCCCTCAGGGGCTAGCAGTACAGACGCGAGATGAGGTGAAGCGGCGGCCAGACACTGGAACTCCTCCTGCCTGTCCTCAAGGACGTCCATGCCAAGGGCACACTCACCCCCGACGGACGGAGGACAGGCAGACTCAGACTCAGCGACAAGACTAGCAGCGTAGTCTAGGCGACAGCGCGCAGCAAAGTCGACAAGCTCAGTGACAAGG